TCTGCTCAGACGTTACATTAAAGCAGGACTGTAAGGGAAAGATATGCTTCACCCACCACTTCTGCCACATCGCCGTAGACATCTCGCGGACGTTCACAGTCGCGAAGGCTGACCGAGACAGCACCGCGTTCGTCTCTGCCCATGGCTGCGTAATGCTGCAGGCCATTGCAGGAACCATCCTGGTGGACAGGGAAGAAGCTCACGTAGTCGGCTGGGTCCAGTTCGCCGGTGTGCGGGTTCCGGTGTCTGAGTGCTGCAGCCAGCTCGCGACAACAGGCAAGCGTCTGCCAGGGCTCCTCCTGTTCGCGCCACCATCCACGACCCTGCAGACACACACAGGAAGAGGTAAATCGACGCAGGCGTCAAACTGACATCCAAAAAGACGTTAGGACAGAGGCAAAAAAAGCAGGCAGACCGCATCCTCCGTTCACTCTAAGCTATCGTAAGTGGAAGCTGCAACTGCACCCCTCCCCGATACAATATTAGCTGTACTGATTCCAATAGGCCAGACGCTGGGATCGACAAACACACACACACGCCTATAATGCCGGGTTCACATTTGTGGGTATGAACGTTCTGTTGACGATGTTGTAACGGTAGTCAAAGCCGAGATGTCACCGCCTAATTATGCCTCGTGTGAATCCCCAGGGAAGAACACACGACAAGAGCGCAAGAGCGTTATGGTTACAAAATATTTAGGGCAAAAAACGCGTATGAAGCTATGTCCATCGGGTTAATCAGACACTATCCTGGCGTGAGTAGCGACGCGATTGGCCTGTGACTCAACGGCTGGCTGTAGCATAAATTTTAGATTATTGATTAATTGACTGCCAGCCAGCGTTCGCCACGTTAAGGCCGATCGATAGCCTGCCGTGAGCGCGGCTCGCTACTTGCATGCTGGCTCCTCCTAACAGACGAAACCTTTTACAAGGCAATCGATACCAAGGCTTGGAGGGTTGTCAACTGACAGGACAACTTGGACACTGCATTCGGCCCAGTGTACGTCTTGTTGAGTGGAGTGGCTTACTGCGGGCTGAGAGTCAGGCTGCAATGGCTCCTTCTTAATGTGGTCTTTGTGGCGTTCCCAGGCGGGGACCTAGCTAACTAAGTGTACCGTTGGTACGCGTGGTAGTGGTGAGAGAGTGGGGCAGATTCTCCGCAAGCCTACTCTCGCTATAATCCCGCGGGAGACCCCGCGTTGCTTCAGCTTACTGAAGCTCGCGATGAATATCGTCGAGAACGACAGTCGAAGTGACGGGTATGAACGTCCAGTTGAGGAAACCTCTCACAAGCCCATCGATACCAGGGCAGAATAGATCCTAAGAGGAATGATTTAAAAAGAAAAAGGGTATTCGGTCCTAATTCCAACAGAGGATGACCCAGATGGATGGCTATTAAATGCACGGGATAAGGTTATACCGATGAGCAGCCACACAAAACCCCATTGTTAGCATTCGTATTCAGTGAGCCGTCATAGTTGATGGAACACTATGTTTAATAGAGTATATATTGGCACAAACTACGCATGACACAAGACGCTGCACGACGAAGGGTCTAATTTGCCGGTGAATACAGGGATACGGTCGGAGAAGTTGTTTGCGTAGACGACATCTGCCCCGTCCCAGGGGAGGGAAACAGTCAATGAACCGTAGAAGAGGGAGTGACGGCATGTGTATGAATCTGCTAACTAATAAGGCAGAGCTTCAGCTGATGAACACCCCTGATGAACTCCAAAAACACAGTATGTCTATGAACAAAACAAATTAGCAGGGAAAATTGGAAACAGAGCGTGACGTGACAGAATTCAGGTGAACGAGCTCAGAGCTGCGCATGAAACTGATGGAAAAATCGGTACTACGAACTCGACGGTCAAGCAGGCATATTTCTTTTCAAAGTAAAAGCGCAGCTTACGTCAAAGGGTTTGTCCGCAGAATCCAAGACTTCATCCAAGTACTTGTCCGTAAAGGCTTCTCTCTCAAAATTTGCTGACCTTAAGGTAGAAGGTTTGAAAAGAAGAAATATAGTTAAAATGTGACTGAAAACTTGTGCAGCAGACAGAAATACTAGCATTGATGCTGCTAAAGTTGCGTCTACAGGAGAGTTCTTCAAACCGGTTCTCTCACGAGTGCAATATGGAATATCCTTCAAACGGTGCGTGTAAATGCTGCGAACAGAGCGCGAGCAACAGGCTCCGTTAAGGCAGACAGGCACTCCAACTGAACAGAGTCGAAGCCAGGGGTAGCCGGAGGATAAGCATCAACACAGAACGCGACTGTTTGATAGGACGATTGCTTACAAAGAAAAGAACCAACCGCACGGCTTTTCGTCACTTTATAAGCTTCGTAGTTAGTTTAAAAAGTTGTGTATATCAAGGGAGAAAATGTTAAGGACAAAAACAACTTACTCCGTAGGAGAAGGCACAGCCCGGTTTCAACCGTTTCAACTTCTCGCTGGCGGTTCAAGTAGTTTGCCAATAAAGTATGTAAGATGTGCGTTTAGCTATGAGACTAGCATAAGGATTATATGAGAAGGAGTACCCTCTTTGAGGAAAGAACAGTATGTTACGAAAACCGCCAAACATAATGGTCGAAGCCCAGATAGTCAAAGAGATTATCGGGATTTATTAAGTAGAAAAATCATCAAGAAAACAAACTTCTAAGTAAGCTAATTAAAGAAACACAAATTTTGTGCGAAAATAGACTGTTAATTCGACTCGAATGAGTTCTTGTGCCAATATAAATTATGCAACAGGAAGTGTGTTGTCCATCGTCCTCAACTGATGAAAATCTTAATCAAGCCCTGATAACAAAACGCTAATGGTGGTGCTCGAGAAACATTTCGATTTTTTGACCAGTTGTCCATCTTGTTACACTGAAACTGATGTGAGCCATAAGTCCTGTTATTTGCCAATCAAGTACTCAACAAGTTTATCGACATGGACAACCGTACCTCAACAAATACAAAAATATATATTTTGAGGAGACATTCAACGCTTAAGTTTCAAATAATTAGCATGGGCATTTGAAAGACAACATTTAAGTAAGCTTTGGAGTATATTTAACATGAGGCTTATCTACGAAGCTTTTTTCTACTTGACACAAATTATGTACTCGTAGAGAATAAACGCTGTCAAATGACACGAATTCTCACTTTTAGCATTGCCAGTTTTGAAGGAAAATTGTTATTTCCAAACAATGCAATGCATATTCATTAGTTCCGCTCAGATTTTGTAAAGTTTCGTCGGGCGTTTGGGTAGGTGGATTTTAGTCGGTTTCTAAGTCTTCAGGAACTTGTTGCGAATGTAGAAATGATGCATCACTTTTTTCACACGATATTCTATTGCAAAGGCGTCAACTTGTTCCGACAGTGGCAAATACCAGGTTAAGTGGATATCCTTCAGCAAGGTCTGGGGAAACTTGTCCTATATTCTGGACTATAAGGCACACTTAAAAGCCTTTTATTTCCCTCAAAAACGACAGTGCGCCTTGTATATCGATCAGTTCTGGTTAATGACCCGGAAGCGATTTATATAAGAAAAAAATTTATAAGATATACCACTCATTGTCATCCTTTTTTGAGAATAATAAAGACTTTCAAGTGCACCTCATAGTCCGCGAAATATGGTAAATCAAACATGAATATTCTACCCGGAGCAATTGCGGTTGGCACCAAAAACATATTCAGGGTGGCAGTACTCGGGAACAGAGGTAATTAATCCACTCCAAATTGCACGTGTTTTGCGTCAAGCCTTACCGGCCACTGTCGTAGGCCGCCATGGACTTATTACTGTCGCAGTTCAAAGAAAAACCCCACTAAAACTTAATATTGCGGTAAATTTTACAAATCAGCAATAAACACCCTCCTGGAACACCGTCCGCATAAGTGACTTTGAAAGGCTGGTGGCAAAATCTTCAGTCTTAAACTAACAAACGTATCTTTTGACTACAGTAGACGCCGTTGATCATGCGAAAGACTAATACTCTTTCGCTAATTGGAATTGACTCCAGTTGTGATA